TGTACATCTTTCCTCAATCTTTGACGGCTTTGGTTACATTTATTAAATAGTTTACAAGCATGAAAACTTGCCAATCAACTGTTGTTATTGTTATAAACAGCCTCCTGGTGCTTCGGAGCTCATTAACTGTTTAATAATTGTAAACAAAGCCGCCAAAGATTGAGAAAAGATGGACAGGTTCGTAAGCGCTTGCGTAACTGCTTCGTGAATCTGGCCCCCTGGCTCTTTCGATCCGCCTCTCAACTGTCCCCTCCCCCCCCCCCATCAGGAAAAGCAACTTCCGTAGTTGTCTAACTCCCAGGTACCTTTTTACTGCTAGGTGAATAGGAGCATCAGGGTGAAAATTTGTTTCCACCATCGCCGCCGATCGATTTCTGAACCCTAGGATTACGAATCCCGAGCGCTGTCCACTCGGCCGTCAAGCCCCCTGGGGTTTGTGTGTGTGTTGTGTGTGTGTGTGTGTGTGTGTGTGTGTGCGTATTTACCTAGTTGTGCTTTGGCTGTTTGGTCCCGCCTCTCAACTGTCAATCAACTGGTGTACAGGTTCCTGAGCCTATTGGGCTCTATCATATCTACACTTGAAACTGTGTATGGAGTCAGCCTCCACCACATCACATGTGTGTTTTTTTCACCCTGTTGTATTCACCTAGTTGTGCTTGCGGGGGTTGAGCTCTGCTCTTTTGACCCGCCTCTCAACTGCCAATCAATCAACTGTTACTAAATACTAATTTTTCACACACACACACACACACACACACACACACACACACACACACACACACACACACACACACACACACACACACACACAAGGGGCTCTAGGGGCCTCGTAGCCTGGTGGATAGCGCGCAGGACTCGTAATTCTGTGGCGCGGGTTCGATTCCCGCACGAGGCAGAAACAAATGGGCAAAGTTTCTTTCACCCTAAGTGCCCCTGTTACCTAGCAGTAAATAGGTACCTGGGAGTTAGTCAGCTGTCACGGGCTGCTTCCTGGGGTGTGTGTGTGTGTGTGTGGTGTGGAAAAAAAAAAAAAAAAAAAAGTAGTTAGTAAACAGTTGATTGACAGTTGAGAGGCGGGCCGAAAGAGCAAAGCTCAACCCCCGCAAAAACACAACTAGTAAACACACACACACACACACACACACCCATACACACACAATCACACACACACACACACACACACACACACACACACACACACACCCATACACACACAATCACACTTTGCAAGTGAAACGATCCGTATTCCCTTCCAACTGTAATTGGACGCAAATCGATCGTAGGAACGGGCTCGAGGACAACAAAAAGAGAGAGAGAGAGAGAGAGAGAGAGAGAGAGAGAGAGAGAGAGAGAGAGAGAGAGAGAGAGAGAGAGAGAGAGAGAGAGAGAGAGAGAGAGAGATTGATTGATTTACCCATTCTACCTCCTCTCCTGAGTATAATTACCCTCTTTGAGCGACAGGGAGCAAGATCACACTACCCCCTTGGTCTTCCTCACGCAAGGATATTGACGTGTTATTGAGTTGGTGGTGTTGAGAGCCACCTCACCTGTCAGCAGTCGTGAGTCAAACACTCCCTCCCTACGGTCGCCGGGCGCGAGCTCCGTCTACATGATATCATTTAGATAACCCCCATCGGCTTGTATGATAGCAAGCGGCGGGGTCTTTGGTGTGGCTGCGTTGGTCAGTCTGGTGGCTTTCCTGGCTTGCGGTCTCTATGACATGACGTGTAGACTGGTAATCTCTTAGGATTCACGGATTTACAGATTCACGGATTTACAGATTCACGGATTTGCAGATTCACGGATTTGCGGGAATTTGCATGGGGTGCTGTGGCCTCACACACACACACACACACACACACACACACACACACACACACACACACACACACACACACACACACACACACACACACATAGATATGATAGAGATATGATATGATCTCTATGATAGAGATATAGATATGATAGAGCCCAATAGGCTCAGGAATCTGTACACCAGTTGATTGACGGTTGAGAGGCGGGACCAAAGAGCCAGAGCTCAACCCCAGCAAGCACAACTAGGTGAGTACACAGGGACCCACTCAGGGGCCTGATAGCTGAGTGGACAGCGCTCTGGACTCGTAATTTTAAGGTCCGGGTTCGATCCCCATTGGTGGCAGAAACAAAATGGGCAGAGTTTCCTTCACTCTGATGTCCCTGTCACCTAGCAGTAAACAGGTACCTGGGAGTTAGACAGCTGCTACGGGCTGCTTCCTGGTGTGTGTGTGTGTGTGTGTGTGTGTGTGTGTGTGTGTGTGAGTGAGTGCGCGAGCGCGCGCGTGTAAGGGCAGGTGAGAGAGAACGTGTTTGGTTGTGTTTACAGCAGGTCTGATTTAGCTCCTGGTCCACGCCTCACAGCTGTTTTAATACCTCAAGTTAATACGAATCGCAGTTTTCTAAATGCTCTTTCAAGTTTATTTATGAAGCAAAGAACGGAGATGGATTTCGCAACAATGGCTCCCACTTCATTTGTTCACTGTCCATTTATTCACTGTCCATTTATTCACTGTCCATTTGTTCACTGTCCATTTGTTCACTGTCCATTTGTTCACTGTCCATTTGTTCACTGTCCATTTGTTCACTGTCCACTTGTTCACTGTCCATTTGTTCACTGTCCATTTGTTCACTGTCCACTTGTTCACTGTGTACATTGCATTAGCACTTTCTTGAATCTGATTCCTTTGTCTTTGTAACCTTTGCCTGTGCCCCCTAGTTCAGTTTCTCCTTTAAGTATTAGGTACGTCGTGACCATATCTTCTACAGTGGTTCTATTGTCAGTTATTAGGCCGAGCACTCTTAGGAGCTTAGCTGCCTGTGGTACCAGTCATATAGTAATAATCTGGACGATCACAACAGAGGATCATACTGGCGTTGCAGAGTGCACAATGCAACTGGTGTTCACGGTACTTTACCCACTCGACCACCCATGACCGTACAAAAGACGAACTGATTTATACTGAGAAATACCCATAAACACCAGTTTGAAACGGTCGCACGAGCCTCTGAGGCCACACAAACAACTCTAACATCCAAAGACATCGATAATCTCCCCGCTCTAAGTGGCCAATCTTCCCCACACTAACGACCGGATGAAGATACCATAGGGGAACGCTCATCCAACCGTTGCAATGATTAAGTGTGTACACCTCTCCCCCCTTCCCCCCCTTCCCTAAACCACCCTCTCAAACCCCCACCCTAACCTCCACCCACATGGGGAACCCCCCTAACCCCCCTTTTGGACACCCCTCAATCCCCCCCAATCCCACTACCAAACTACATTACTATAAGCGGCTTCCGTCAACAGAATGGTTATACATACGGCTCAGGGTCGTATTTAACGTCGTTATCACGCTAACTGTGACATGTATACAGAAGGTAATTATGACATGTATACAGAAGATAATTATGACATGTATACAGAAGATAATTATGAGATGTATACAAAAAACTCGACGAAATATTTAGAAAAAGTGAGCTTAGTGTGTGTAAATACCGAGCAATTAAACACTGAGAGGGTAATTACCCGTGAGCCGATGATAGATTGGTCCAATAGACAGGTTCAATAGACAGGTTGAGGTGAAAATGCTGTATTAGCCCATATATGGGCCATTACATGTCCAGGATGACACGGCCAGCTGGATCACTAGTGGTGCATGACACAGTCAGCTGCGCATGACACAGCCAGCTAGATCAGTAGTGGTGCATGACACAGCCAGCTGGATCAGTAGTGGTGCATGACACAGCCAGCTGGATCAGTAGTGGTGCATGACACAGCCAGCTGGATCAGTAGTGGTGCATGACACAGCCAGCTGGATCAGTAGTGGTGCATGACACAGCCAGCTGGATCAGTAGTGGTGCATGACACAGCCAGCTGGATCAGTAGTGGTGCATGACACAGCCAGCTGGATCAGTAGTGGTGCATGACACAGCCAGCTGGATCAGTAGTGGTGCATGACACAGCCAGCTGGATCAGTAGTGGTGCATGACACAGCCAGCTGGATCAGTAGTGGTGCATGACACAGCCTGCTGCATCAGTAGTGGTGCATGACACAGCCAGCTGGATCAGTAGTGGTGCATGACACATCCACGACCAAGGCCTGACACCGGGGCAAGCCTCATACGTCAGGCAGACGCCATTAAGACGCCCCGCGCTACTAGCGTAGACACAATTGTACCGTAATTAACCCAGAGAGCCTCGTTTGCTTTAATTACAGGCTGTTCAACCCCGAACGACGTTTATTACAAAGTTAACGAGGCAAACGAGGTCAGGACACGGCTGCTTGCTGGTGTTTTTCCTGCTGCCTGGCGTCTCAATGAGTTCCAGGACATCGTTACCTGCTGGGTATCTCTCTCTGCTGGGTATCTCTCTCTGCTGGGTATCTCTCTCTGCTGGGTATCTCTCCCTGCTGGGTATCTCTCTCTGCTGGGTATCTCTCTCTCTGCTGGGTATCTCTCTCTGCTGGGTATCTCTCCCTGCTGGGTATCTCTCTCTGCTGGGTATCTCTCTCTGCTGGGTATCTCTCCCTGCTGGGTATCTCTCTCTACTGGGTATCTCTCTCTACTGGGTATCTCTCTCTGCTGGGTATCTCTCCCTGCTGGGTATCTCTCTCTGCTGGGTATCTCTCTCTCTGCTGGGTATCTCTCTCTGCTGGGTATCTCTCCCTGCTGGGTATCTCTCTCTGCTGGGTATCTCTCTCTCTGCTGGGTATCTCTCCCTGCTGGGTATCTCTCTCTGCTGGGTATCTCTCTCTGCTGGGTATCTCTCTCTGCTGGGTATCTCTCCCTGCTGGGTATCTCTCTCTGCTGGGTATCTCTCTCTGCTGGGTATCTCTCTCTGCTGGGTATCTCTCTCTGCTGGGTATCTCTCTCTACTGGGTATCTCTCTCTACTGGGTATCTCTCTCTGCTGGGTATCTCTCCCTGCTGCCTGGCGTCTCTCCGACTTGCGGAAAAGCATTCATGACTGCCAAAGGTGAGCAATCATCCCCCTCCTCCCCAAATACGTCTGAAAAGGGATTAATATATTCCCATCTGGCTTTTGTGTCCTATGAATAGGTTTTTATAACTCTCCTATTGAGAGAGCCTTTCACGTGAGCCACTCCTCCCATGAGAGAAAGAGGTCTCACGTGAAAACTTTCTGAAGAGAGATTTTGAGAAAACTTTCACCGGAGCTTTCGTGTTAGAAAGTCTTCGCGTGTGAGAGTTGTCACATACTGGAACTCAAGAGTTCCCTTGTCGCCAAGGTCTTCTCTCCCAGGCGGGGAGACACACGTCTAAGGGAGTCATTCCACCGACTCGACGGAACTTTTGGGAATTTGTCCACGGCAGGACCGAGGAGTACGTGAGCATATATATCCTGGCCCTCCCATGGGTGCCATATTGTAAATCCCAGCTCGCGGTGCTCCCTGGTGTGCTCCGGTGAACATTAGGTAACGGGGCTCTCTCTCTGCTGGACAGAGAGAGAGCCCCGCGCAACCCATGTGATTGCAGGGTTGAGCTCTGGCTCTAAAGCCCCCAACTTTCGATCATCATCAGTAGTTTAATGTCTCTCGATTGTTAAAACAGTTATAAGTAATGTTTTAATTTTAATATCATGATGCTGAGGAAGTTCCTTCAGTAATCTTTGTGATTCATCTGTGTTTCCAGTTTCCAATTATGTTAGTTTTGTCTTGTGTCCTTATCTTGCTCTCTTCTGCTCAACTCTTAACACTGTATAGTAGAGGCTCTGGTGGTGGTGGTGGTGGTGATGGTGGTGGTGGTGGTGGTGGTGGTGGTGGTGGTGGTGGTGGTGATGGTGGTGGTGGTGGTGGTGGTGGTGGTGGTGGTGGTGATGGTGGTGGTGGTGGTGGTGGTGGTGGTGGTGGTGGTGGTGATGGTGGTGGTAGTGGTGGTGGTGATGGTGGTGGTGGTGGTGGTGATGGTGGTGATGGTGATGGTGGTGGTGGTGGTGGTGGTGGTGGTGGTGATGGTGATGGTGGTGGTGGTGGTGATGGTGGTGGTGGTGATGGTGGTGGTGGTGGTGGTGGTGGTGGTGGTGGTGGTGATGGTGGTGGTGGTGGTGGTGGTGGTGATGGTGGTGGTGGTGGTGGTGGTGGTGGTGGTGATGGTGATGGTGGTGGTGGTGGTGATGGTGGTGGTGGTGGTGATGGTGATGGTGGTGGTGGTGGTGGTTGTGGTGGTGGTGGTGGTGGTGGTGGTGGTGGTGGTGGTGGTGGTGGTGGTGGTGGTGATGGTGGTGGTGGTGATGGTGGTGGTGGTGGTGGTTGTGGTGGTGGTGGTGGTGGTGGTGGTGGTGGTGGTGATGGTGGTGGTGGTGGTGGTGGTGGTGATGGTGGTGGTGGTGGTGGTGGTGATGGTGGTGGTGGTGGTGGTGGTGGTGATGGTGGTGGTGGTTGTGGTGATGGTGATGGTGGTGGTGGTGATGGTGGTGGTGATGGTGGTGGTGATGGTGGTGGTGGTGGTGGTGGTGATGGTGGTGGTGGTTGTGGTGATGGTGGTGGTGGTGGTGGTGGTGGTGGTGGTGGTGGTGGTGGTGATGGTGGTGGTGGTGGTGGTGGTGGTGGTGGTGGTGATGGTGGTGGTGGTGGTGGTGGTGTTGGTGGTGGTGGTGGTTGTGGTGGTGGTGATGGTGGTGATGGTGGTGTTGGTGATGGTGGTGGTGGTGGTGGTAGTGATGGTGGTGGTGGTGGTGCTGGTGGTGATGGTGATGGTGGTGGTGGTGGTGATATTTTCTTAGGTCTCGTGCTCTCTCTCTCTCTCTCTCTCTATATATATATATATATATATATATATATATATATATATATATATATATATATATATATATATATACATATATATATATATATATATATATATATATATATATATATATATATATATATCAACACAAACTTTAGTAAACATTTATTCCAATGGTTCCTTATCCATCTGAGTATAACTTTACAGTTGCAAATTAATATAGATGTCTTAACTGCTGTTATTACAACCAGGAAGTGGTTAACAGTGCAGCAAGGTAGTATGCTTCCTCCCCCAAGTACTCTGATGATCCCTCCATATCTTGAGGTTATCTTGAGATGATTTCGGGGCTTTAGTGTCCCCGCGGCCCGGTCCTCGACCAGGCCTCCACCCCCAGGAAGCAGCCCGTGACAGCTGACTAACACCCAGGTACCTATTTTACTGCTAGGTAACAGGGGCATAGGGTGAAAGAAACTCTGCCCATTGTTTCTCGCTGGTGCCTGGGATCGAACCCAGTTCCTGGCTTCTATTTTCCAGGATTAGTGTATTAAATAAAGCTATAATTTAATAAAGCCCATATTCGCATGTTTCAGGCCTCGAAAACCATTCTTGTGGTTTAAAGTTAGGCTTAATCCAAACTCTAACTTGGTTATCAGATTAAAGGGGGGGGGGGAGAAATAGCCTAAGCTACTCTATCCCTTTGAGATAGATTAGTGCTGCCTATCCTTCTATCCCAATAGGGGGATCCCTATCCCTCTAACCCTACTCTATCCTTACTTGAACTTGAATCAGATTAAAAATAAAACAGCATACATTATATTGACCAAACCACACACACTAGAAGGTAAAGGGACGACGACGTTTCGGTCCGTCCTTGGACCATTCTCAAGTCGATCGACTTAAGAATGGTCCAGGACGGACCGAAACGTCGTCGTCCCTTAACCTTCTAGTGTGTGGTCTGGTCAACATACTTTAACCACGTTATTGTGACTCATCGCCTGCATGTGATATAACAATATATATATATATATATATATATATATATATATATATATATATATATATATATATATATATCGCCTGCAGCATACATTATAAACTGCTTTAGGAAGAAAAGACTGTCTATAGTTTTACGCCAAGATCTTTACCAATATATTATACCGGACTTTCTCAAGTCCCATAAACCAGCGATACTTCAGTATACTTTGGGAATGTTAAAACAGCTTCCTTGCATTTTTGGTTATAGCGTTTGAACTGGAATGTTTATATTATAAAATTAAGGATATGAATGTTTATGCTATATAATCCCGTATATAATAGGATTATAATGTTTGCATAAAAATATATTACACTTAAATATAAATATATATATATTTATATTTTAAGTAAAAAGTGAGTTGTATTAAACTAATATAACTCATTAAATCATATGTATATGATTAAATATGTGTGTATATCACGAAAATAAACACGTGATTAAAAATGTGACAGTGTCAGACCACGGATGAAAATTGAAACAGGAATTTCCTTAAGTACTTTCGTATATTAATACTTCTTCAGAAGGAGTGAATCATCTTCATCTTCATCTCCTTCTGAAGATGTATTAATATACGAAAGTACTTAAGGAAATTCCTGTTTCAATTTTCCTCCGTGGTCTGACACTGTCATATGATTAAATATGAATTAAACTAATACATACGTTAATACATAACGTATGTATTAAACTAATGTGTTCTTTGTAACTAACACGAAACATGGACACTCATCCCAAGTTTCAGTTTTGCCTTTTTTTTTGCCCAGCAAATATATTACATTTAGATACACATTCACTGACAATTTATTCAAATCTAGTTAAGAGAAGTATTCAAATCACAAAATACTATTTCTCATATCACAAAATACTATTTCTCATATCACAAAATACTATTTCTCATATCACAAAATACTATTTCTCATAAAGTTAGAAAGCTGACGATCCCGTATTTCTCCAGATAAGCCTTATCATAGCCCCGCTAAAAAGTTCGTTTGCTGGTCTGGGGCTTGAACGAGGTCATCTAAAAACAGTAAATCCGTTCAATCTGACCGATAACCGGAGGGAATATTTTAATCTTCAGCTCCTGGGCCCCCACCTTTCACTCACCGGTCGCCAAGTGTAATGGCTCCTCTTGCCTTTTATAATATTTTGTATAATAAGTATACTTGAAATTATGGATGGAATTATACTCGATTATACCTTCCCTCTCGGTTCACTCCACTCCCTCCCTACTCTTGTAGTGATGGTCAGGAGCAGTGAAGCAGACAGCAGGTGGTAGAGGGGGAGCAGTCTGGCTGCGTCTAGCATGCAGCAAAGTGGGGGATGGCAGCAGACAGTCTGCCAGCGTTAAGCAGACAGCAGGTGGTAGAGGGGGAGCAGTCTGGCTGCGTCTAGCATGCAGCAAAGTGGGGGATAGCAGCAGACAGTCTGCCAGCATTAAGCAGACAGTAGGTGGTGACAGGTATCAGTCAGCATCATCCAGAAGACACCAAAGTGGTGGAAGACAGCAGACAGTCCGGCAGCGCCGAGCAGACAATAGATGACGAGCAGCAGCAGCAGCATCTAACTTCGCAGCGTCCAGCAGACAGGAAAAGTGACGTAGGGCATAAGACAAGTCTGCCAGCACCGAGCATAAAAGCGTCGACTTAAACACACCCCAAGGAAAAGGCAAGATCCAGCGAGACAAGAAATACAAAGGCCCAAAAAGGCGAAGTTAGACAAGCAGAACAAGATCCTAAACTTTGTCAAAGGCCCCGCGGCGGTGGTATCCCAGACACGCGGTGATATGATCTGCCCAAGTTAGCGAGAGCAGTAAAGTGGACTCCAGAAGCCACAAGGCAGAATCTCCCTTTCTGGAATCATGGGTAAACCGAACAGCCAACACGAAACGGGTCTAAATCTGGAATTAGAATTCCAGAATTAGAATTCTGGAATTCTGTTGACCAGACCACACACTAGAAGGTGAAGGGATGACGACGTTTCGGTTCGTTCTGGACCATTCTCAAGTCGATTGTGACTTGAGAATTGTGACACAATTCCATTCTCAAGCCGATTGTGACTTGAGAATTGTGACACAATTCCATTCTCAAGTCGATTGTGACTTGAGGATTGTGACAATCGACTTGAGAATGGTCCAGGACGGACCGAAACGTCGTCGTCCCTTCACCTTCTAGTGTGTGGTCTGGTCAACTTACTTTAGC